TTGAAAGAGGGAGAAAGATTGAAAGAGGGAGAATAGGTGAGAGTGAAATCGGGAAAGAGAGATAGAAAAAGAAGAGATAAATGGAAAATGGGGAAAGGTGAGAGGAGAGGAGATATACAACAGAAGAAAGATATTGAAAGAGGGGAGAAAGATTGAAAGAGGGAGAATAGGTGAGAGTGAAATCGGGAAAGAGAGATAGAGAAAGAAGAGATAAATGGAAAATGGGGAAAGGTGAGAGGAGAGGAGATATACAACAGAAGAAAGATATTGAAAGAGGGAGAAAAGATTGAAAGAGGGAGAATAGGTGAGAGGAAATCGGGAAAGAGAGATAGAGAAAGAAGAGATAAATGGAAAATGGGGAAAGGTGAGAGGAGAGGAGATATACAACAGAAGAAAGATATTGAAAGAGGGAGAAAGATTGAAAGAGGGAGAATAGGTGAGAGTGAACGGGGAAAGAGAGATAGAGAAAGAAGAGATAAATGGAAAATGGGGGGAAAGGTGAGAGGAGAGAGATATACAACAGAAGAAAGATATTGAAAGAGGGAGAAAGATTGAAAGAGGGAGAATAGGTGAGAGTGAAATCGGGAAAAGAGAGATAGAGAAAGAAGAGATAAATGGAAAATGGGGAAAGGTGAGAGGAGAGGAGATATACAACAGAAGAAAGATATTGAAAGAGGGAGAAAGATTGAAAGAGGGAGAATAGGTGAGAGGAAATCAGGGGAAAGAGAGATAGAGAAAGAAGAGATAAATGGAAAATGGGGAAAGGTGAGAGGAGAGGAGATATACAACAGAAGAAAGATATTGAAAGAGGGAGAAAAGATTGAAAGAGGGAGAATAGGTGAGAGTGAAATCGGGAAAGAGAGAGATAGAGAAAGAAAATAAAAAGAGATAAATGGAAAATGGGAAAGGTGAGAGGAGAGGAGATATACAACAGAAGAAAGATATTGAAAGAGGGAGAAAGATTGAAAGAGGGAGAATAGGTGAGAGGAAATCGGGAAAGAGAGATAGAGAAAGAAGAGATAAATGGAAAATGGGGAAAGGTGAGAGGAGAGGAGATATACAACAGAAGAAAGATATTGAAAGAGGGAGAAAGATTGAAAGAGGGAGAATAGGTGAGAGGAAATCGGGAAAGAGAGATAGAGAAAAAGAAGAGATAAATGGAAAATGGGGAAAGGTGAGAGGAGAGGAGATATACAACAGAAGAAAGATATTGAAAGAGGGAGAAAGATTGAAAGAGGGAGAATAGGTGAGAGTGAAATCGGGAAAGAGAGATAGAGAAAGAAGAGATAAATGGAAAATGGGGAAAGGTGAGAGGAGAGGAGATATACAAACAGAAGAAAGATATTGAAAGAGGGAGAAAATTGAAAAAGAGGGAGAATAGGTGAGAGAAAGGAAAAGAGAGATAGAGAAAGAAGAGATAAATGAAAATGGGGAAAGGTGAGAGGAGAGGAGAGATACAACAGAAGAAAAATTGAAAGGGGAGAAAGATTGAAAAGGGAGGAGGGTGAGAGGAAAGGGGAAGAGAGATAGAGAAAGAAGAGATAAATGGAAAATGGGGAAAGGTGAGAGGAGGAGATATACAACAGAAGAAAAGATATTGAAAGAGGGAGAAAGATTGAAAGAGGGAGAATAGGGTGAGAGAGGAAATCGGGAAAGAGAGAGAGAGAAAGAAGAGATAAATGGAAAATGGGGAAAGGTGAGAGGAGAGGAGATATACAACAGAAGAAAGATATTGAAAGAGGGAGAAAGATTGAAAGAGGGAGAATAGGTGAGAGAGAAATCGGGAAAGAGAGAGAGAGAAAGAAGAGATAAATGGAAAATGGGGAAAGGTGAGAGGAGAGGAGATATACAACAGAAGAAAGATATTGAAAGAGGGAGAAAGATTGAAAGAGGGGAGAATAGGTGAGAGTGAAATCGGGGAAAGAGAGATAGAGAAAGAAGAGAAAATGGAAAATGGGGAAAGGTGAGAGGAGGAGAGGAGATATACAACAGAAGAAAGATATTGAAAGAGGGAGAGAAAGATTGAAAGAGGGGAGAATAGGGGTGAGAGTGAAATCGGGAAAAGAGAGATAGAGAAAGAAGAGATAAATGGAAAATGGGGAAAGGTGAGAGGAGAGGAGATATACAACAGAAGAAAGATATTGAAAGAGGAGAAAGATTGAAAAGGGAGAATAGGTGAGAGTGAAATCGGGAAAGAGAGATAGAGAAAGAAGAGATAAATGGAAAATGGGGAAAAAGGAGGAGAGGAGAGGAGATATAAAACAGAAGAAAGATATTGAAAGAGGGAGAAAGATTGAAAGAGGGAGAATAGGTGAGAGTGAAAATTGAAAGAGGGGAAAGAGAGATAGAGAAAGAAGAGATAAATGGAAAATGGGGAAAAAGGTGAGAGGAGAGGAGATATACAACAGAAGAAAGATATTGAAAGAGGGAGAAAGATTGAAAAGAGGAGAATAGGTGAGAGGAAATCGGGAAAGAGAGATAGAGAAAGAAGAGATAAAATGGAAATGGGGGAAAGGTGAGAGGAGAGGAGATATACAACAGAAGAAAGATATTGAATAGGGAGAAAGATTGAAAGAGGGAGAATAGGTGAGAGAAATCGGGAAAGAGAGATAGAGAAAGAAGAGATAAAATGGAAAAATGGGGAAAGGTGAGAGGGAGAGATATACAACAGAAGAAAGATATTGAAAGAGGGAGAAAGATTGAAAGAGGGAGAATAGGTGAGAGGAAACGGGGAAAGAGAGATAGAGAAAGAAGAGATAAAATGGAAAATGGGGAAAGGTGAGAGGAGAGGAGATATACAACAGAAGAAAAGATATTGAAAGAGGGAGAAAGATTGAAAGAGGGAGAATAGGTGAGAGGAAATCGGGAAAGAGAGATAGAGAAAGAAGAGATAAATGGAAAATGGGGAAAGGTGAGAGGAGAGGAGATATACAAACAGAAGAAAGATATTGAAAGAGGGAGAAAAAGATTGAAAGAGGGAGAATAGGTGAGAGGAAAATGGGAAAGAGAGATAGAGAAAGAAGAGATAAATGGAAAATGGGGAAAGGTGAGAGGAGAGAGATATACAACAGAAGAAAGATATTGAAAGGGGGGAGAAAGATTGAAAGAGGGAGAATAGGTGAGAGGAAATCAGGGAAAGAGAGATAGAGAAAGAAGAGATAAATGAAAATGGGGAAAGGTGAGAGAGAGAGGAGATATACAACAGAAGAAAGATATTGAAAGAGGGAGAAAGATTGAAAGAGGGAGAATAGGTGAGAGTGAAATCAGGGAAAGAGAGATAGAGAAAGAAGAGATAAATGGAAAATGGGGGAAAGGTGAGAGGAGAGGAGATATACAACAGAAGAAAGATATTGAAAGAGGGAGAAAGATTGAAAGAGGGAGAATAGGGGAGAGTGAAATGGGGAAAGAGAGAAAGAGAAAGAAGAGATAAATGGAAAATGGGGAAAGGTGAGAGAGAGGAGATATACAACAGAAGAAAGATATTGAAAGGGAGAAAGATTGAAAGAGGGGAGAATAGGTGAGAGTGAAATTGGGAAAGAGAGATAGAGAAAGAAGAGATAAATGGAAAAATGGGGAAAGGTGAGAGAGAGGAGATATACAACAGAAGAAAGATATTGAAAGAGGGAGAAAGAGGAAAGAAGGGAGAATAGGTGAGAGTGAAATGGGGGAAAGAGAGATAGAGAAAGAAGAGATAAAATGGAAAATGGGGAAAGGTGAGAGGAGAGGAGATATACAACAGAAGAGAAAGATATTGAAAGAGGGAGAAAGATTGAAAGAGGGAGAATATGGGTGAGAGTGAAATTGAAAGGGGAAAGAGAGAGAGAGAAAGAAGAGATAAATGGAAAATGGGGAAAGGTGAGAGAGAGAGAGGAGATATACAACAGAAGAAAGATATTGAAAGAGGAGAAAGATTGAAAAGAGGGAGAATAGGTGAGAGTGAAATCGGGGAAAGAGAGATAGAGAAAGAAGAGATAAATGGAAAATGGGGGAAAGGTGAGAGGAGAGAGATATACAACAGAAGAAAGATATTGAAAGAGGGAGAAAGATTGAAAGAGGGAGAATAGGTGAGAGGAAATCGGGGAAAGAGATAGAGAAAGAAGAGATAAATGGAAAATGGGGAAAGGTGAGAGGAGAGGAGATATACAACAGAAGAAAGATATTGAAAGAGGAGAAAGATTGAAAGAGGGAGAATAGGTGAGAGGAAATCGGGAAAGAGAGATAGAGAAAGAAGATAAATGGAAAAATGGGGAAAGGTGAGAGGAGAGGAGATATACAACAGAAGAAAGATATTGAAAGAGGGAGAAAGATTGAAAGAGGGAGAATAGGTGAGAGGAAATCGGGAAAGAGAGATAGAGAAAGAAGAGATAAATGGAAAATGGGGGAAAGGTGAGAGGAGAGGAGATATACAACAGAAGAAAGATATTGAAAGAGGGAGAAAGATTGAAAGAGGGGAGAATAGGAGAGTGAAATCAGGGAAAGAGAGATAGAGAAAGAAGAGATAAATGGAAAATGGGGAAAAGGTGAGAGGAGAGAGATATACAACAGAAGAAAGATATTGAAAGAGGGAGAAAGATTGAAAGAGGGAGAATAGGAGAGTGAATCGGGAAAAGAGAGATAGAGAAAAGAAGAGATAAATGGAAATGGGGAAAGGTGAGAGGAGAGGAGATATACAACAGAAGAAAGATATTGAAAGAGGGAGAAAGATTGAAAGAGGGAGAATAGGTGAGAGAAACGGGGAAAGAGAGATAGAGAAAGAAGAGATAAATGGAAAATGGGGGAAAGGTGAGAGGAGAGGAGATATACAACAGAAGAAGAAAGATATTGAAAGAGGGAGAAAGATTGAAAGAGGGAGAATAGGTGAGAGGAAATCGGGAAAGAGAGATAGAGAAAGAAGAGATAAATGGAAAATGGGGAAAGGTGAGAGGAGAGGAGATATACAACAGAAGAAAGATATTGAAAAAGGGAGAAAGATTGAAAGAGGGAGAATAGGTGAGAGGAAATCAGGAAAGAGAGATAGAGAAAAGAAGAGATAAATGGAAAATGGGGAAAGGTGAGAGGAGAGGGAGATATACAACAGAAGAAAAAGAATTGAAAGAGGGAGAAAGATTGAAAGAGGGAGAATAGGTGAGAGTGAAATCGGGAAAGAGAGATAGAGAAAGAAGAGATAAATGGAAAATGGGGAAAGGTGAGAGGAGAGGAGATATACAACAGAAGAAAGATATTGAAAGAGGGAGAAAAGATTGAAAGAGGGAGAATAGGTGAGAGTGAAATCGGGAAAAAGAGAGATAGAGAAAGAAGAGATAAATGGAAAATGGGGAAAGGTGAGAGGAGAGGAGATATACAACAGAAGAAAGATATTGAAAAAGAGGAGAAAGATTGAAAGAGGGAGAATAGGTGAGAGTGAAATCGGGAAAGAGAGATAGAGAAAGAAGAGATAAATGGAAAATGGGGGAAAAATGGGGAAAGGTGAGAGGAGAGGAGATATACAACAGAAGAAAGATATTGAAAGAGGGAGAAAGATTGAAAGAGGGAGAATAGGTGAGAGTGAAATCGGGAAAGAGAGAGATAGAGAAAGAAGAGATAAATGGAAAATGGGGAAAGGTGAGAGGAGAGGAGATATACAACAGAAGAAAGATATTGAAAGAGGGAGAAAGATTGAAAAAGAGGGAGAATAGGTGAGAGTGAAACGGGGAAAAGAGAGATAGAGAAAGAAGAGATAAATGGAAAATGGGGAAAGGTGAGAGGAGAGGAGATATACAACAGAAGAAAGATATTGAAAAGGGGAGAAAGATTGAAAGAGGGAGAATAGAAGAGAGGAATTGGGAAAGAGAGATAGAGAAAGAAGAGATAAATGGAAAAATGGGAAAAAGAGGAGAGAGAGGAGATATACAACAGAAGAAAGATATTGAAAGAGGGAGAAAGATTGAAAGAGGGAGAATAGGTGAGGAAATCAGGGAAAGAGAGAGAGAGAAAGAAGAGATAAATGGAAAATGGGGAAAGGTGGAGAGAGAGAGGAGATATACAACAGAAGAAAGATATTGAAAGAGGGAGAAAGATTGAAAGAGGGAGAATAGGTGAGAGGAAAGAGGGGAAAGAGAGATAGAGAAAGAAGAGATAAATGGAAAATGGGGAAAGGTGAGAGAGAGGAGATATACAACAGAAGAAAGATATTGAAAGAGGGAGAAAGATTGAAAAGGGAGAATAGGTGAGAGGAGAAAAATCGGGAAAGAGAGATAGAGAAAAGAAGAGATAAATGGAAAATGGGGGGAAAGGTGAGAGGAGAGGAGATATACAACAGAAGAAAGATATTGAAAGAGGGAGAAAGATTGAAAGAGGGAGAATAGGTGAGAGGAAATTGGGAAAGAGAGAGATAGAGAAAGAAGAGATAAATGGAAAATGGGGAAAGGTGAGAGGAGAGGAGATATACAACAGAAGAAAGATATTGAAAGAGGGAGAAAGATTGAAAGAGGGAGAATAGGGTGAGTGAAATCGGGAAAGAGAGATAGAGAAAGAAGAGATAAATGGAAAATGGGGAAAGGTGAGAGAGAGGAGATATACAACAGAAGAAAGATATTGAAAGAGGGAGAAAGATTGAAAGAGGGAGAATAGGTGAGAGGAAATCGGGAAAGAGAGATAGAGAAAGAAGAGATAAATGGAAAATGGGGAAAGGTGAGAGGAGAGGAGATATACAACAGAAGAAAGATATTGAAAGAGGGAGAAAGATTGAAAGAGGGGAGAATAGGTGAGAGTGAATCGGGAAAGAGAGATAGAGAAAGAAGAGATAAATGGAAAATGGGGAAAGGTGAGAGGAGAGGAGATATACAACAGAAGAAAGATATTGAAAGAGGGAGAAAGATTGAAAGAGGGGAGAATAGGTGAGAGGAAATCGGGGAAAGAGAGATAGAGAAAGAAGAGATAAATGGAAAATGGGGGAAAGGTGAGAGGAGAGGAGATATACAACAGAAGAAAGATATTGAAAGAGGGAGAAAGATTGAAAGAGGGAGAATAGGTGAGAGTGAAATCGGGGAAAGAGAGATAGAGAAAGAAGAGATAAATGGAAAAATGGGGAAAGGTGAGAGGAGAGGAGATATACAACAGAAGAAAGATATTGAAAAGAGGGAGAAAGATTGAAAGAGGGGAGAATAGGTGGAGAGAAATCGGGAAAGAGAGATAGAGAAAGAAGAGAAAAATGGAAAATGGGGAAAGGTGAGAGGAGAGGAGATATACAACAGAAGAAAGATATTGAAAGAGGGAGAAAGATTGAAAGAGGGAGAATAGGTGAGAGAGTGAAATCGGGAAAAGAGAGATAGAGAAAGAAGAGATAAATGGAAAATGGGGGAAAGGTGAGAGGAGAGGAGATATACAACAGAAGAAAGATATTGAAAGAGGGAGAAAGATTGAAAGAGGGAGAATAGGTGAGAGTGAAATCGGGAAAGAGAGATAGAGAAAGAAGAGATAAATGGAAAATGGGGAAAGGTGAGAGGAGAGGAGATATACAACAGAAGAAAGATATTGAAAGAGGGGAGAAAGATTGAAAGAGGGAGAATAGGTGAGAGTGAAATCAGGGAAAGAGAGATAGAGAAAAGAGATAAATGGAAAATGGGGAAAGGTGAGAGGAGAGGAGATATACAACAGAAGAAAGATATTGAAAGAGGGGAAAGATTGAAAAGAGGGAGAATAGGTGAGAGTGAAATCGGGAAAGAGATAGAGAAAGAAGAGATAAATGGAAAATGGGGAAAGGTGAGAGGAGAGGAGATATACAACAGAAGAAAGATATTGAAAGAGGGAGAAAGATTGAAAGAGGGAGAATAGGTGAGAGTGAAATCGGGAAAGAGAGATAGAGAAAGAAGAGATAAATGGAAAATGGGGGAAAGGTGAGAGGAGAGGAGATATACAACAGAAGAAAGATATTGAAAGAGGGAGAAAGATTGAAAGAGGGAGAATAGGGTGAGAGTGAAATCGGGAAAAAAGAGAGATAGAGAAAGAAGAGATAAATGGAAAATGGGGAAAGGTGAGAGGAGAGAGATATACAACAGAAGAAAGATATTGAAAGAGGGAGAAAGATTGAAAGAGGGAGAATAGGTGAGAGGAAATCGGGAAAGAGAGATAGAGAAAGAAGAGATAAATGGAAAATGGGGAAAAGGTGAGAGGAGAGGAGATATATAAACAGAAGAAAGATATTGAAAGAGGGAGAAAGATTGAAAAGAGGGAGAATAGGTGAGAGTGAAATCGGGAAAAGAGAGATAGAGAAAGAAGAGATAAATGGAAAATGGGGAAAGGTGAGAGGAGAGAGATATACAACAGAAGAAAGATATTGAAAGAGGGGAAAGATTGAAAGAGGGAGAATAGGTGAGAGGAAATCGGGGAAAGAGAGATAGAGAAAGAAGAGATAAATGGAAAATGGGGAAAGGTGAGAGGAGAGGAGATATACAACAGAAGAAAGATATTGAAAGAGGAGAAAGATTGAAATCAGGAAAGAAGAGGGAGAATGGGGGAAAGGTGAGAGTGAAATACAACAGGGAAAGAGAGAAAGAGAAGGGAGAATAGGTGAGAGAGAGAAAGAAGAGATAAATGGAAAATGGGGGAAAGGTGAGAGGAGAGGAGATATACAACAGAAGAAAGATATTGAAAGAGGGAGAAAGATTGAAAGAGGGAGAATAGGAGAGTGAATTGGGAAAGAGAGATAGAGAAAGAAGAGATAAATGGAAAATGGGGAAAGGTGAGAGGAGAGGAGATATACAACAGAAGAAAGATATTGAAAGAGGGAGAAAGATTGAAAGAGGGAGAATAGGTGAGAGTGAAATCGGGAAAGAGAGATAGAGAAAGAAGAGATAAATGGAAAATGGGGAAAGGTGAGAGGAGAGGAGATATACAACAGAAGAAAGATATTGAAAGAGGGAGAAAGATTGAAAGAGGGAGAATAGGTGAGAGGAAATCGGGAAAGAGAGATAGAGAAAGAAGAGATAAATGGAAAATGGGGAAAGGTGAGAGGAGAGGAGATATACAACAGAAGAAAGATATTGAAAGAGGGGAGAAAGATTGAAAGAGGGAGAATAGGTGAGAGAAATCAGGAAAGAGAGATAGAGAAAGAAGAGATAAATGGAAAATGGGGAAAGGTGAGAGGAGAGGAGATATACAACAGAAGAAAGATATTGAAAGAGGGGGAGAAAGATTGAAAGAGGGAGAATAGGTGAGAGTGAAATGGGGAAAGAGAGATAGAGAAAGAAGAGATAAATGGAAAATGGGGAAAGGTGAGGAGAGGACAACAGAAGAAAGATATTAAAACAGAAGAAAGATATTGAAAGAGGGAGAAAGAAAGAAAGAGAAAAGGGAGAAATGGGGAAAGGTGAGAGGAATGAGGAAAAGAAGAGATAGAGAAAGAAGAGATAAATGGAAAATGGGGAAAGAGAGAGAGAGAAAGAAGAGATAAATGGAAAATGGGGAAAGGAGAGGAGAGGAGATATACAACAGAAAAGATATTGAAAGAGGGAGAAAGATTGAAAGAGGGAGAATAGGTGAGAGTGAAATCGGGAAAGAGAGATAGAGAAAGAAGAGATAAATGGAAAATGGGGAAAGGTGAGAGGAGAGGAGATATACAACAGAAGAAAGATATTGAAAGAGGGAGAAAGATTGAAAGAGGGAGAATAGGTGAGAGTGAAATCGGGAAAGAGAGATAGAGAAAGAAGAGATAAATGGAAAATGGGGAAAGGTGAGAGGAGAGATATACACAACAGAAGAAAGATATTGAAAGAGGGAGAAAAAGATTGAAAGAGGGAGAATAGGTGAGAGTGAAATCGGGAAAGAGAGATAGAGAAAGAAGAGATAAATGGAAAATGGGGAAAGGTGAGAGGAGAGGAGATATACAACAGAAGAAAGATATTGAAAGAGGGGAGAAAGATTGAAAGAGGGAGAATAGGTGAGTGAAATCGGGAAAGAGAGATAGAGAAAAAAGAAGAGAAAAATGGAAAATGGGGAAAGGTGAGAGGAGAGAGGAGATATACAACAGAAGAAAGATATTGAAAGAGGGAGAAAGATTGAAAGAGGGAGAATAGGTGAGAGTGAAATCGGGGAAAGAGAGATAGAGAAAGAAGAGATAAATGGAAAATGGGGGAAAGGTGAGAGGAGAGGAGATATACAACAGAAGAAAGATATTGAAAGAGGGAGAAAGATTGAAAGAGGGAGAATAGGTGAGAGGAAATCGGGAAAGAGAGATAGAGAAAGAAGAGATAAATGGAAAATGGGGAAAGGTGAGAGGAGAGAGATATACAACAGAAGAAAGATATTGAAAGAGGGAGAAAGATTGAAAGAGGGAGAATAGGTGAGAGTGAAATCGGGAAAGAGAGATAGAGAAAAGAAGAGATAAATGGAAATGGGGAAAAAGGAGAGGAGATAAATGGAAAAGGGGGAAAGGTGAAAGAGGGAGAAGGAGATATAGAAAAGAAGAAAGAATTGAAAGAGGGAGATATAGAAAGATTGAAAGAGGGAGAATGAAAGGGGAGAGGTGAGAAATTGGGGAAAGAGAGATAGAGAAAGAAGAGATAAATGGAAAATATAGAGAGGAGATATACAACAGAAGAAAGATATTGAAGGCGATAGTGGGGGAGAATAGATGAGAGTGAATTCGGAAAAGAGAGATAGAGATAAACGGAAGTTTGAACAGAGAAAAAGAGAACATGGTGCCACTGAAATTGATAGAGGTTCGAATAGGGAGAGAGTCCAATAAGGAATAAGAGAATAAAAACTTTGAGCGTCAAAGTGAGGAAAAGAGAGAATTGAGAGAGACGCTGAATGCGAGTGGGAGTAGAATAGGTGAGATGGAAAGAGAGCAAGAAAAAAAATGGCAGCGATAGAGCGATGAGACGAGAGAAAAAGAAAAGGCTGAAATTGAGAGAGAAGAGAAGAGACGGGGGGCGAAACCGGAAGAAAATAAAGTCAACCGGAGATATAGAGGGTGAACGTGAGAATGTGAAAATAGGAGAAAAAGATTAAAGGCCAGAAAGTAAGTAGGAGAAGACAAGGTATATATAGAGAGGGGCTAGGAGAAAAAGAAAGAATAAGACAGAGAAAATAAGAGAGAGAAGACAAAACTAATCGAGATATCGTATGTAAGATTGACATTAGGACTGAAAAAGATTAAAATCGATAGCAAGTCCCTCCTGTTATCACAATTGGCTTCCTAAATTTTGTTTACTTTCATTTAATAGCACCTTCCATCTTATAATATACTACTTACGAATTCGTTCCTCACCAGGTGTCCCATTCATAGCTAAGAAAATTCCTGGACCTATAGGCCGACAGGGCGATTCGTAGAGGTGCAATAGTTTTCAAGTTGCGGATCATTAATACTGAATAGAGGGCTCGATCCACATACGGCGCTCTATACACGGAGCCTTGTGCCAAACGAAATTAAACTTCGTATATACCTGCAACAATACAGACTGGATAGTGCTCCACTCAGGTGTGTAATGGTTAACACGTTATTCATTTGTGCCCTTGTACTAAACTAAATGTACTATATACTTTTAACTATGCAACATTGAATAAAGCGCCTTGCAAAGATGAGACAAGATATTGAGGAATATTATTAATTGGGTGGAAATTCGATTCTCACTAGGTGGCTCACGTTCCCGTTCTTATGACAACGTGAATTCTTTTAGCTATACAGCGTAGAATATTGCAAATTGCTGTCATGTTAACGAATTTTTCTTGCAGCTTATTACTCCTGAGTAATGATCTCCTTTCTTCAGTATCTGTCTATATTTCTGAGATGAGATTGCTTATATTGCGTACATTGTTGTACGCTCCGGCCGAAATGTCGTGATAAATATGGCAACAAAGATGAGGATGATAACTCGAACAATGTAAATAGTGATCACGATCCTCTTTGGGTACCCCAGATATGGTATCACGTGCCACAGAGAATTAAACTTCGTAAATATGTATAACAATAAAGATTCTTTTAAATAATTACTGAAATAATGAATCAAAATAGACGTTTTGGACGCAAAGAAGTATATGAGTGCCCTTCGCAAGTTTCTCTCATGTGAGAAGGATTTCCCACGAACATGGTTGGCCAGAAAATAGATGAGGTGGTCATTTGTTAGCGCAAGTTTTGAGGAGAAAAATGATGGCACAGTCTACCAGCCAAGTCGCCGTATGGACACCCGCGTCACACGAGACCAGGAATTGTCATGGGGGAACAGTATACCTTTGCGACTAACCAATGCTGGCCCCTTCTGCTTCTGTGCCTGTTACACACGTTCCGACTGCTGAGGGTACAGGTCTGCTGTGATGGTTTGACCTGTTGGTAACAGCACGCAATGCATCACTTTTCGACTAGTCCAGTAGACACAGGACATGATCTTGTGTGGGTTTACAGGTGGTGTGAGGCACATGATCCCGTGAAGACAACCAAAGGGAGTGTCATACAGGACCCACTTTTCGTTATTGGTAAGCACTCGATCAAATATTGTCGGATTCCCTATGCGGTGCAGATGAAGTTTGTATTAGCGGAAACCTGCATTCGGCAAGCTCACTACAGGTTTGGATGTTCTCCTCTTCTATGGCCGCCTTCAGTGCCTCGTCAACGTAGACCTGTGGCTGGCCAATGCGGGGTTTATTCCAAAGAGGCATCGCTCGATTTGTACATCTAGAACCAACTTCTAGCGGTGAGTTCACTTACAGCATCCTCCACAAAGGCTTGACGTATTCGGCCACTTGATGCGGCTGCGGACAAGCTTAACTTGAGGTCACAAAGCAAACAGCCCCGAACGATCTGATTCAACACCGCTGGGTTTCCTCTTCGCTGCTCGAGCTATGACTGAGGTGTGCGCGCAACATACCTACATTGCCCCAACCCAACAGCTTTCCCGGCACGTGAGGCAAAAATCTGCGTATCAATGATCACTTCTCCCAACACGGTGTAAAATAACGGCAAGGACTTTATTGGTTACCATATACTTATTATAGTCCTGATGAATCGTTCAACAATGATTTATTGTTTACGAACTCCTGCCAACAATCCACTAGCCCTAACCCTGCCTCGACGATAGAAATCACTAAGTTTTGACTCGAAAAATTCATCAAGCCATGTTTAAGCTTCGTATCGTTGTTGAACGAAAGGCCCTAACAAATTGTTAGAAAGCGAGAGGGGATAAATCAGGAGAATATGGAGGGTGTGGCAGAACTTTCCAACCGAGTTCTTTAATTACATGTTTCGTCATGTTAGCGACGTAGGGCTGTCATGGTGAATAATCACACTGTATCGCCGGTCAAGTCTTTTTCGTTGAATTGTCTCTTTGAATCTGTTCATTTGTTAAACATACAGCTTATCTTTGACCTTTTGCTTGTTTTCAAGCATTTCATAGTAAATTACTCATTTACAATCCCACCAAACACAGATCAATCGCTTTCGTACATGCAGCTCTGGTTTGGTTCAGAGTGCAGCCTGATTGTCGGGACTCGTCCATTCTTTTCTCTGCTTCATATCCAAGTAAAGACACTAATTTTCGTTGCGGAAAACATATTTTCAAGGACCCTTTCATTGTATGCACGCGTAACCTGGCGTCGAGTGAGTAAACTGGTGTCAGTTGAGGAGCGCTGGAGTTTGTTTCTCGAGGCCAATGCATGTGGCACCCATGCGCCGTGTTTCTGGGCATTAACCATGGAGTGAAAATGAAGAGAGACAGTAACATGAAAGCTTGCCATCTACTGAGCCAATTCCTTGGTGCTGTGGCGCGAACCCAATTAGTTCTCATCAAACTAAATAGGTCAGCCAGAACAAGGAGATCCTGTGAGTTCGAACCTCCCCTCCTTGTAACGCCATTTTATTGATTCGTTTTCAACGGCTTATCAAACCTTTTGCATTATTCAAAGCTAGAAAATACTTTTATATTGTAAGAATATTTTTAGTATCTGTCTATATTTCTAAGATGAGTTATTATGTACACTATTTACATTAATCGGACTATTGTCCCCATCTTCGTCGCCATATTTATTACACCATTTCGGCCGTTGTACGCTCCGGCATTCTTCATGTGGTTGGAATATCGAACTGAGGACACATGGCACAGTGGATAAAGGCGTTGGTTAGATACAGTGACAGGACCCAAAGAGTGTCAATTCAATACCTGGTTAAGGCAGTGGAGAACTTGGAGAGGAGAATTAACATGAGATAACTGATAACAGACATCCGTTAAATATGGCACGTGGAACTAGAACAGTCTACCCCAGTAAGCGAAATAAAGGGTCCAGTTCGACATTCCAACCACCTGAAGAAGTCCAGAGCGTACAACGGTCGAAACGTTGTAATAAATATGGCGACAAAGATGAGGACAATGGTCCGAATAATGTAAATAGAATGTTTTTAGTTAATAATGGTTTAGGAATAAAATTGTTATCGATTAACCCATAGCTGGGGGAGAAGTGATCACATACCTTTCCTAATGGTATTTCCGGATAAAGAAAGATGATGAACAGAGGGAATTGTATCTCGACTTACCGATTAACAATTCTGAACCCTACCTGCATATCCAAGCTTACAACACCTGGTATTCCTAAGTGGTAACCCATTTAGGTACTGACCATGCTCGGCGTTGCTTAATTTCGGTGATCTTACGAGAACTTGTGTTTCAACGTGATGTTGCCGCCAGTTTCCCTGAAACGAAAAAAACAACATTTCTGGGCCATTCTGTCGGTAATGAAGTCATCTCCTTACACAAATGTCTCGAGTAGCTTTGGCAACATTGTAACCTTGATTAAAAGCAACGGAAAGAATAATGAAGAATATGTTCATTCTTATCTGGCTGACATTCCATCTCAAAGGAGAGTCTAATCGGTAATAAAAATTTTATTATCGGAATAAATAGAGTTGCTAAGAATGCCACGAAAGATTATGATTTGCAGAAGATCAGGAAAAAAAAACGACCAAATATACACTGCTTTAGACCAATGAAAATAAAATAAAATAAATATACATTTTCTTTGTGAGACGCAATAATTTACTTGAGTAGAGCTTAAAAAAATGAAAATAAGAAAAGGAAAAATAAAAATTAATGATTTTTTTATTTTGCATTTAATAGGAAAAATTTGTATACTGGGAAATTCGGTTACATACTACCTGGTCAAATGTTTAACACCATATTTAAGCGAAGCTTTAATTGGTAAACACGTGATTAAATTTAGTCATCTGAGTTCAAGCATTAGCGCAGACGATATCTCCCACTAGTAACTCCTACGTTATAACAGTTAACAAAAAAAAAAAAAAACATGGCAAAGGCTAAAATGTCGACAGGGTTTGAAAGTGACAGCACTGTCGAGCTGCAAATGCAAGTTCTCCCTCAACGTGATATCGCTGGTGAGGTCGGACATAGAAAAACTGCAGTTGCAAATTTCTTAAAAGACGCAGAAGGATACGGAACGAGAATTTCAAATGGACGACCGAAGAAAATTTCATCGGCGTTCAGCAAGAGGATTAGACGGGTTGTTTGACATGACATCAGACTATAATTGAACCAGATTAAGGCCCTTAAAGACGCAGAATTTAGCTCATGAACAATAAGTCAGCATACACGAGAGAAATGTCTTAAAAACAAAAAACGTCTTCAATTGTCCCTCCATTTTGCAATACCACAAAGCAGTTCATTTTGCTGAGATACGCCAAACATGTATACTGGGAAATTCGGCTAAATACCAGCTAGTCAAATGTTTAAGACCATGTTTAAAATAAGCTTTAATTGGTAAACACGTAACGAAATTTAGTCATTTGTGTAAAAGCATCAGTGTAGTCAACATCTACTGGTATCACTTGCGTTATATTAAGAACATGGCAAAGGCTAAAAAGTCGACAGACTTTGAAAGTGGCAGAATTGTCGAACTACAAAAGCAAGGTCTCCATCAACGTGCCATCGTTGGATGTAGTAAAACTGCCATTGCAAATTTCTTAAAAGACCCAGAGAGATACGGAACGAGAATTGGTCGGCACAAGAAAATTTCGTCGGCGTTGAGCAGGAGGATTCTACGGGTTTTCTGGCATGACACCAGCCATTCATTGGACCAGTTTTATGGTCGCAGAATGTAGCTCAAGAACAATAAGACATCATCCCGGAGAGAAAGGCCTTAAAGTAAACGTCTTCAAATGTCCATGCCGTTTTTCATACCACAAAGCAGCTCATTTAAATTTTGCTGAGAAGAGCCAAATATGGAACATAGAAAATTGGAAGACGTTTTCGTTCTCTGATAAGAAAAAAAAATAAATTGGATGAACCAGAGGTCTTACAAAGTTATTAGCACGACAAGGATATTCCACCGGAGACTTACTCTACATGACACAATCGAAAAGATCCCATCATGATCAGGGGTGCTATCTCCTTCTAAGGAACTATGGTATCAAACCGCGACTGGTTATATTGGCATGTTGGAGAGAGCATCCTTATTAACAGAAGGTTCTCGATTGTGTGGAAATAATTATCTATCAGCAGGACAATGCTACAATCCATAATACCCGCAGGACAAAAGAATTTTTTTCATGCCCTATAACGTGATTCTTTTGAACCACCAATCGTGTTCAGCCAACATTGAAAATGTTTTGAGTGGATAGCAGAAGTCTAAAGAAATGGATGTCAATTCCAAAGAGTGCAGGATCTTCGCGAAGCTATCTTCACTGCCTGGAATAAAATTCCAGTAAGCCATCTTAAGACGCTTCGACCATGCTGAAGTGAATTTTTGAAGTTATTCACAGTGACGAACGTGCAATTGAGACATCTTGTTGGCTATTTCCTATTGTGTTTAGCGCTTCTTTTAGGTATGATATTAAACGTTTCATCAGCTAGTATTTAGCCTAATTTCATTTGCTGAACAACGCAAAAGGCATACATTTTTTTTCATTATTTTCATTGACCTTAAGATTTGGATCAGCAGTGTATGCAACAAATTAATGCAGGCTGCGATGGATAAATTGTCGTCTAAATGACGCAAACTTGAAAATAGACCTCATTTTGATATACAGGGTGCGATGGATAAATTGTCGTCTAAATGACCAAACCTGAAAATAACGCTAGGCACCTCAATTCAACAGATATACAGGGTGCGATAGATAAATTGTCGTCTAAATGAGGCCAACCTGAAAATAGACCTCATTTTGATATACAGGATGCGATGGATAAACTGTCGTCTGAATGACGCAAACCTGAAAATAACACACCTCGTTTCTACAGGCTGCGATATATAAATTGTCGTCTAAATGACGCAAACTTGAAAATAACACACCTCATTTCTACAGGGTGCGATAGATAAATTGTCGTCGAAATGTGTCCAACCTGAAAATAGACCTCATTTTGATATTCCGGACGCGATGGATGAACTGTCGTCTAAATGACGCAAACTTGAAAATAACACTGACACCTCATTTCAGCATTTACCAAAATTACAAGAACATATCACGAAATACTAAAGAGTAAATTTAGTCAATATAATCGCCATTGGCTCAAACCATGGCCCCCAGACGACATCGGAATCTTCTGCAACTCGTCTGGACGGTCTCCCTGTGTAAGTTGTTGAATGATGCCATGATCCTTGACTTCAGCTCATCTCTGGTGTTTTAAGAAGTTTTGTTGGTCTCTCGTTCAACGATGCCCCCGCACATATCAACCAAGTAGTTGAAGAAAGGGGAGTTAGGTTGTCAGATCTGAGGGATTATGTGGTCGCATAAATTGTCTGGCAGCCATGACTAGATTCCCCTGCTTGTGTGGCATGGGGCAGAGTCCTGCTGTCAGAAGTAGGGTCTTCCAGTAGCCACCGTCTTGACCCAGGGCAGCACTACCCCCTCAAGGTACTTGATGTAGCTTCCCTCTGAGGTCCTGTGGGAAGAGGCATCGAGGCATAACGTCGCCATTACTAGCGATTACGCGAAAGACATTCGTAATTATCAGTAGATTCATCCAACTCTTTCTGAATCTTCTTCACTGTTCTCATATTGACACTCAAACATAGTGAAATGTTCCTATTTGAGCTTCCATCGCGAATATTATATATATATATATATATATATATATATATATATATATATATATATATATATATATATATATAAATTCGCTTGAGGATGAAATGGAACTAATGATTTTAATTTAATTACAAAATTAAATTTGAAGCTTTTTGCTTCCATTTTGAAACATGATTATTGCTGTGTATATTTTAAATCAGTTAATTTATAATATTAATGCTCTGTAAATTTACATTGAGCACTATTTTGTAAAAATAAAATATCAATAAGAACACCGGATTATATATCTTACTGTTCTTCCTTTTTTTATATATATATATATATATATATATATATATATATATATATATATATATATATATATATATATATGTATATATATATATATATATATATATATATATATATATACATATATATATATGTATATATATATATATATATATATATATATATATATATATAATTGAACAATAAGAAAATAAAAAATTAAAATCTTTAGACCCACTGGGTTGTAGATTAATATTCTTTCGTTTTTTTTTATTATTATTCCATTTAGATTCCTTGACTAGTTTCGACCGAAATGGCCATCATCGGGAGGAGAAATATTTCTGCTTGCTGGCAGCACTAAACTACAGAAATGAATGTCTTGATGGAGAAAACGAACTTTTGTCTGTAGTTTTCATTTGTTTTTTTTATTTTTTTATCTTTTTAACATGAATCTTTTAACATTCCTTAACAGTCTCTTTTAAGTTGTTTTTTGAGATAACAGCTGGATAGATACATGTTGCTCTGAATTCTCTGGTCAGTTTGACAGTTTTATTGGACCTGGTGAGTGGATATATATATATATATGCACATTTCATTGAAAACGACAGACAAGGTGCTTTAATTTAGTTTCTTATACAATTTCTCATGCGATCTAATAATTTTTAATAATCATGGAGACCTACCGGACACTATTCGTAACATACTTGTTGACAACACAAATATATTAGCACCATCTACGTCCAAAAAAGTCTAAAAATAATAGAAGCCTTATTAATAAAAACAAAAAAACTTAACACTTAATAATATTAACTATGAACATGGACACAATATTTTGACCGTGTTTTGAAAATTGAAAACATTTTCTAAAACGTACATACAACAAACTATTTCTTATTTTAACAGTTTAAATATAATCCTTGAAAATGGCTAAATGTATAGCCGAAAGCGCTCGGATACAAACAAGATTCGGACAGTTTTTATATAATTTATCAAGAAGTAAAAAAAAATATTAGATCACATGAGAAATTGTATAAAAAACTAAATAAAAGCACCTTGTTTGTCGCTTTCAATGAAATGTGCATGAAAGAAGGATTGCTGCCTAAATACACAAATATATATATATATATATATATATATATATATATATATATATATATATATATAGTATGATGGGTAATATATATATATATATATATATATATATATATATATATATATATATATATATATATATACATATTTGGTGTGATGGGTAAAAAATATATATATATATATACATTATACATACATATATATATGTGTGTGTGTGTGTGTGTGTGTGTGTGTGTGTGTGTGTGTGTGTGTGTGTGTGTGTGTGTGTGTGTGTGTGTGTGTGTGAG